TCACTCAAATTTCAAGTAGGCATGCTCAATTTCATGAAAAGCACAAAACATTTCACTTCAAATCAGTCATACTTGTGTAAAACGGGTTTAGTCCCACCACCACTTCAAAAACAAATCAAAACATGCTTTTAAAACAGTATGGGCATTACCATAAATTTACTTACCTTAATTGCACAGGACAGAAGGCCTAATCTCAGTGCTAAGGCCACAGGACAATCAAGGACCTAATCACAATGTTCCCAATTAATATCTATGTATACACAATTATACAATTACACAATTACAGATATACAATTTCTCAAACTAATGGACAGGAATTTGGGAGAACCGGCCTTGACAAAAAAATGGCCAATTCACAGAATTTTTCCTCCCTTTTTCTCGGACACACACACCACAGCCAAATTAAGGATTTTCTACTTAAATCATCAACCAATCCATTTTCTAATTGCCAAAACTCATCCCCCACCTCCGGCATCTTGTTTTTGGACAACCCAAACACCCATACAACCAATTAAGCTCATAAGCAGCAATTAATCCACCAATTTTCAGAGATTAGAGAAGCCAACTTACCAGAAATGCTCAGCAAGCAAGGCTAGAGTTGGCGGTATGGGGAAGAGCCGGCGGGAAAAATTGGGGAGAAATTCGGGAACCACTAACAATTGAAAGGAACAAAGATTAGGGTGAACCCAACATAAATCAAGGTTGAAAAGAAGAGTTTCTGGGCTGGTTTTACCAGGAAAAACCGGAGCTTATACCCAGCAACAGCCGGCAGCAGGGAAGGGAGAAGGCAGCAGATTTGGGAAAATTTCTGCAAGAGAGAGAAGTTCTAAGTTCTAGACTTGTTCTTGGGCAAGAGGAGAACAAAAATCATCAAGTTCTCTTACCAATTTTTCGGATGAAGGTGCTAGAAATGGCTGGTGATGTTCGGCTGCAGGGAGAAAGGAAAACAGAGCAGACACGCGAAAATGCTGGAAAGAAAGAAAGAAAGAAAGAAGAAAAAGATAAAGGAAATGAGTCAGCCGGCCTTATCCAAACACCTTTTAACCCCTTTAAAGTTTGAAAAATTGGCAGTTAGGTCCATTAATAAAGTTTTCTCACTATTAAGTCCCTAACTCAATTTATATGCTCTAGGAAATTTTGGGGTATTACATCCACCCCTCCTAAAAAGGAGTTTAGTCCCCTAAACTCATACCTCAATCTTGGAAGAGGTGCGGATGTTCCTGCCTCATCTTGGATTCCAATTCCCAAGTAGCTTCTTCAACCGAATGGTTGTCCCAAAGGACCTTAACAAAACGAATGGTCCTTCTCCGCATCATCCTCTCCTTGAAATCTAAAATGCGGATCGGGTGCTCGTCATAAGTGAGATCCTCCCGGAGTTGAATTGGTTCGGGATTAATGATGTGACTCGGGTCGAGGACATACTTCCGAAGTAAGGACACATGAAACACAGCATGAACACCCGCTAGATTCCCAGGCAACTCCAATTTATAAGCTACCTCGCCAATCCTTTCCAAGATAGGATATGGTCCAATATACCTCGGACTCAATTTTCCCTGGATGCCAAACCTGAGAACACCTCGAGTGGGTGACACCTTCAAAAATACATGGTCACCAACTTCAAACTCAAGGTCTCGTCTCCTTCTATCCGCATAGCTTTTCTGCCTGCTTTGCACAGTACGAAGGCGTTCCTTGATCAACTGCACAATCTCAGAAGATTGCTGCACCAATTCTGGGCCTAAAATGCTCCTTTCGCCCACTTCCGTCTAACAAATAGGTGATCTACACCTTCGACCATACAAAGCCTCAAACGGTGCCATGCGGATGCTGGACTGATAATTATTATTATATGCAAATTCAGCCATGGATAAGTGTTGATCCCATGAACCCTTCCAATCTAGAACACAAGCCCTCAACATGTCCTCAAGTATCTGAATAGTTCTCTCAGATTGCCCATTAGTTTGAGGATGAAAGGCCGTGCTGAAATTTAATTGAGTACCAAGTGCCTGCTGCAAGCTAGTCCAGAAATGAGACAAAAATCTGGTATCTCTATCTGACACAATAGACACAGGGACTCCATGCAGTTTGACTACCTCCTCCATGTACATATTGGCAAGCTTTTCAATGGAGGTGCCAGTCCGGTAGGGTAAGAAATGAGCTGATTTGGTCAATCGATCAACGATGACCCAGATGGAATCATTACCCTTAAAGGTTCGTGGTAATCCAGTCACAAAGTCCATGGTGATGTTTTCCCACTTCCACTGAGGAATAGGTAATGGCTGTAGTTTTCCAGAAAGTCTCTGATGTTCAGCCTTGACCTTTTGGCAAGTCAGGCATTGTGACACAAATCTAGCTATCTCCCTCTTCATGTTCCGCCACCAAAATGTACTACGTAAATCGCGATACATCTTGGTGCTCCCTGGGTGGATTGTATAGCTAGTATAATGGGCATCTCCCATAATCTCACGCCTTAAAGCATGATCTCTTGGTACACACAACCTGTCACCAAGCCACAGAATCTCATCATCAGAAATCCTGAATTCTTGCATGTGGGGTTCCCCGGCTCTTACTTTTTCCTTCATCTTCTGCAAGAAGGAATCTTTTTGTTGGGCAAGTTTAATTCTATCTATTAAGGCCGGTTGTGCACTAAGAGCGGCTAGATAAGCCGTAGTGCTGTCCACTCTCAACTCCACATCAAGTTTCACAAGATCCTCAAGTAACTCCTTCTGAGTGGCAAGGATGTTAGAGGCAGTGCCAGAGGACTTCCTGCTCAACGCATCTGCTACCTTGTT